ATAATGCAGTGCGCGTTATAGTGCGGAAAATACGGTACTCATAATCCTGATATCATCATATAATATTCTGCTTTCCTCTACAGCTACATCAGGTGCTCTATAACAAACCCCGACAATTAGGCCATTTGAATCTTTAGCATCAAGTTTTATCCATACAGCTTCTGAATTTTTATTTTTATCAGTGAGATCCCTTGCCTGCAAGTTTTCTTTTACGTATACTGCAACGTATAATAGTTAGATTTAATGTTTATGTTATTGCTAGTGTTAATGGTTGTGGTAGCACTAATGTTAACCTCCCTACTATCATGTATTTCACCCTTTTATTCTTTCATTCACCCTTCTATCCTTCCACATAAATCCATTGATTTTATTAGTCTCATGGTTTAAAAGCTACAACAATCAAACTTTGTATATAGACTCAACAACTGATTAAAAGCACTAAAGAAACACTCAACTGCTTAAATTAAGAACAAATATTTATCTATCTCAGTGTCTTTCTACTTTTATGCACACAGAAATTGACACATTTTCCTCAGGAAATGCCCTTTCTAGTTAATATACAAATTTCCTCATTAGACTGCAAAATAGAGCCTCAGAACAATACCATTGTATCAGCATATTCAATGGGAAACTGTCAAATCTGAAATGTTTTGCAAGTACAAAATTTATCTGGGAGTATAACAAGCATTTCAACCACACACTAGGGGGAGAAGATGGCCCAGTATCGCTAATTGACAATATTTCCAAAAGAGCCTAGATCATAAGGTGCAGGTCAGCCAACCTATCTTTTAAGGCCTCTGATTTGACTAGTTCAGTTCGGCACAAAGCGGTCCTCTTCCTCTTCCACTTCCCTGACCCACTTCCATAAGTCGCTCCCTAGATATTTCCTCTTTGTCAGGATCCCAGAGCCCCTGCACATCTGACAAGAACAGAAATGTAGTTTTACCAGGTGGGGTTTACTAGAAACATGCTTTTCATTAAGGATGAAAGGAGAGCAGCAGCTACATTTTATGCTGTCCAAAGCATTTTTTCACCAATATAACAGCACATGTTGAACATTTCAATCTCTCCTTGGAAAATGAAGCTATAGTGACGTTCTCTGCCAAGACAAAGGTAATTTCTCACAGTCAGAGAAGCCTGCCATTTCCCCAAGGGGCCAGTCAAATTGTGGTCGCCACATCTGATACTTCATTGATCTGGATGTCTTTCCCTCACGATCATCACACCCATGTGAGGTCACCTTTGAATGTGACATTTTGGACTACAGAAGAAATTTGGGTAATGTTGTATTTATATTATTCTGGTTATCTAGATGCCCTGTCA